GACTGACGCCTCAGCTCAGTCCACGCAGTCTGCCCAGTTGTGTGTGTGCTGCGTGTTGAGTGGCGGAATGGGTGGATGAGAACCCGGCTTCATAACGTGACTTCTGGCACTCTCACGCATGTGTGGAGTGGGTGTGTATTTGGGTAGTGCCTCTCAGTCGGCGACTCACTGATTACACTGTTAACTCGGGCTCAGCGCAGGGCTGTGTGTCACCCTTATGGGCCATAAGGTTTGTGAGCGTCTATGATCAAAAAACTTGACCCTCGCAGCCCGGGGAGTGCTGGCAGTGCTCTGGCATATGGTCCGCTGCCGGTAAATGCGCTTGCGTTCTCCCTGGGTGTACAGGTGGTGTGTATGACTGCCCAGTCATCCGCGTCCTTCTGACACGTTGTGGTGCTGTTTTTGTTGGTTAAAACCCTGTTCAGTAGTTTGTTGGGGACCAGGGGATGTGGTGGCACGCCTAGATGCGGGTCCGGTCGTGCCAGCCACCTGCTCCTTATCCCGCCTCCGGTATTCGTGACTATGTCTTGATATCGGGTGCAGGAGAGGGAGGAGGAGGGGGTGCGGTAGATGCTGCGCAAGTCTACTCTCACTATAAACAAATTCACGCTCAAGTCAACCGGTCTGCTTCATCTTGCTGTGGAGCGCACGGTGGACATCGTCCGTTGCGACGGTCGAACTGTGAATTGTAGAGTGGCTCTCTGGGCTTAGTAAATCGACGTCTTCGGGGACGGGTATGGGCGCGGCTGTTGCAACGAGTGTTTTTTGTAGAGAGGGAAAAACACCATTCCTGGCGACTAACACGTCCTTGACGAAAAATGCACAGGCATGTTCGGATTTAGTCGACGAGTAGCCGAAGAACTGTCTATAGATTCGTTTAATAAATAAAGTTATCTTCGTTGTTAGGTTACTAAAAGCAGATGTGGAAAACCGACAAAGAGAGCAACCTTTATTAAAGACTCTGCCGAATGATTAGGGAACACGCAGAAATCTCCTTTTTGGAATCCGGGAATGGAGGGAAAATCAGCCTGATTATAATGAATGGCAAAACCTGTCAGAATTAGATTTTGCGGCTGGACACTTTGGAATGATTGTTTCAAAATAAAGCGTACTTCTTTATCTCTCAGATTGATGCTCCCAGTTTCATTACAAACACGTTTTTCCCAACTGTCACTGAACCAACTTGACTTTTCAAACAAAACAATCATGTGGCATGGGCAATCCATATCTTTTGAACTGGAGCGTGCGGTGGATAAGGGATTGGGGTAAAAGGACCTTTTGAGATGGAAACAGTAAGAGATTCTCAGTAGTTTGGGACAAAAAAGATAAAGGAATATATTTTGCTCATAGGATCAATTGTCCTCTTTCCAGGAACAAATAACAATGTTTTGCGGTACAAAAATTCAAAAAGTTGCTAAGATAAGCGTTAGTTAATTCGCGAAGTCTAAACTGTGTCAGCGGGTCATGTGAGCCAGAAAGAGGTAGTCATAGTTCTTTAAAAAATACTACTAGCTTTGAGATAGAATGTGAAAACAGTAACCACTCAGTCACTCAGTTCTCGGTAGTATCATGTCCGCCGTGGACGCGTGAGTTCTCGTGTTTTAGATTTCCTACTTTATCCATCCGCAACTTTGGCGCCATAATTTCGCACCTTATCGTAATGCTATTTCGCAGTTGTTGACTTCGCTCCGGCAAAAATTATCACCGTTTCGTCGCAACTTGAGTTTAAGTTTGTAATAGCAAGTTAACAACCAATTTTCGGTCCCACGAAATTGTATGTGTACCACCTAATTGCTTCTAGATGTTCTGCCAGTGTTATCAAAAATGATTGCCGTTTTTACTCGACCAACCAAGCTCCTAACCGTCTCAAGAAACTGACATTACCCGATGTTAAGGCTGACCCCCTGCTGCCATTGTACTTGTATATGGCAATCATCCATTGACGCCAATTTGTTAATCTGCGGCTATTTATTATTTTCTGACTTGCCAGCGGTTGGTTAATATATCAGCTTGTCGTCACGAATGTCGTCAGTGGCATGCCGCACACGGGCTACCGGCCTTCAAGTAAGGGGACCTTCCTAGCGGAGTAGACTGCAGGGTACCTGGGACTCCAACACTAATTTTGCGGCCTGAGCCAGTCTGATGCCTAGTTATGTGCCAGTACGTGAGCACTTAGTCCTTAGTACCGTGCTATAACGGTCGGCGTTTTCTTATCCCTCGTGGCCCGGTGGATAGAGGCGTGGACTTCTAAACCAACAGGTCGCGAGTTCGAGGCTCGGGTGTTCCACACTTCGGGCTTGGGTATGGCCGGCTGACGACGGCTAATAAGCCAGAAATGGCCATTCCAGTCTCTATTGTCTTTGTCGGTAATTGCATTCTAACTGAGTAGTCCCGAAGCCAGCCGAGTGTGAGGGCGTACATTTCCTGCAACCGTCTCGACCGGCGGGCTAAACCAGGTGAGGGAGCCCTGTGCGCTGTGCCGCGTGCACAGGGTTTGCGGATTCCGCTGGATTGAAGGTCGGATGGAACCTTGCGTCGGCACCGTCGTGACGTGGTTCGTCTCTGCACGCCGCTGGACAGCCGGTGATGGGATGGACCTCCACATCGACATCGCCTTGACGCGCCCACCTACGCCGTCGGAGACCGCGGCTTACGGCGAATTCGAGTCGCTCTCCACTACAACCTGAAGTCGTGGTCCCAATGTGGAGTTCGGCCGTGCCACAACGGCACATGACAGCCCTATTCAGGGATGGCACTGCCAGCCCCCACGAGGGGAAGGGCCTATAAAAGGTGGCCTAAACATTGCTGGGTACCACGCCGTCTCCAGGCTAGCCAGGGCCGCAGACGTCTAATCATGGTCGAAACAATCAAAATCGAATCAACAACAATACCAATAACAACAACAACAACCACAACCATACTCATTCTCCTCAACCTACCTCTTCTTCCTCTTCCTCTGCCTATTCTTCTCCTTCGTCACTTTCTTCTCCATCTTCTTCCCGTCGCCCCACTCGCTGTCACCAGACTGGCAGGGTGAGCCCGCTTACTCTGGCAGCCTGGAATGTTCGTTCCCTTTTAGACAATCCGAGGAGCAACCGAGCGGAACGGAGGACGGCGCTAGTGGCACGAGAACTGGCGCGCTACAAGGTGGACATCGCCGTACTCAGCGAGACCCGATTCTCCGAACAAGGCCAACTGGAGGAGGTCGGTGCCGGCTACACCTTCTTCTGGAGCGGTCGACCCAGGGCAGAGCTACGGGACGCGGGTGTCGCCTTCGCCATTCGGAACGACATCGTGGGACGACTGCCCTGTTTACCGCAAGGCATCAGCGATCGCCTGATGAGCCTCCGCCTGCCTCTCTGGGGAGGCAAATTCGCCACCATTATCAGCGCCTACGCTCCGACGATGACCAACCCCGACGCCGTCAGAGACAAATTCTACGAGGACCTGCACGCCCTCTTGGCGACTGTGTCGAAGGCGGACAAGTTGATTGTCCTTGGTGACTTCAACGCCCGCGTCGGCACAGACCATACTGCCTGGAGAGAAGTTCTGGGTCCGCACGGTCTCCGCGGCTCAAACGACAATGGTCTGCTGCTTCTCCGCACCTGCGCAGAACACCGCCTCATCCTGACGAACACCTTCTTCTGTCTGCCGGAGCGAGAGAAGGCCACCAGGAGGCATCCTCGATCGCGTCAGTGGCACCTGCTGGACTATGTCCTCGTCCGGAGGCGAGATCAGCGGGACGTGCTGGTGACGAAGGCGATCGCGGGTGCTGACGGGTGGACCGACCATCGCCTCGTCATCTCGAAGATGCGTATTCGCCTACAGCCTCGCAGGAGACCACATCGTAAGCGACCCCCAGGTAAGCTGGATGTTGACTTGTTGTCTTTACCCGATCACCATCTTCATTTCATCAATGAGCTAGCTCAAAGGCTAGACAACCTTCCTATCGCTGCCGACGTTGCCGCTGCCGAGAACGCCTCCGTGGAGAACCGCTGGTGTCAACTGCGAGACACGGTCCAGTCGACGGCGCTCGCCGTCCTCGGTCGCGCTCCCCGCCAACACCAGGATTGGTTCGACGACAACGACGCCGCCATCAGAAATCTGCTAGCTGAGAAGAACCGCCTACACAAAGTCTACGTAGATCACCCCACTGATGCCACCAAAGCTGCCTTCTACCGCAGCCGCCGCCAACTTCAGCAACGACGCCTGGACCGCTCGCAAAGCTGAGGAGATCCAAGGGTACGCGGACCGCAACGAATGGAAGAACTTCTTCTCTGCGATCACAGCTGTCTACGGTCCGCCGACGAAGGGCACTGCTCCTCTCCTCAGCGCCGACGGCAACACTCTCCTGACTGAGAAGACGCAAATCCTGCAGCGATGGGCCGAGCACTTCCGAGGCGTCCTCAACCGCCCCTCCGTCATCTCCGACGCCGCCATCGAGCGTTTGCCGCAAGTGGAGGCCAACGTGGACCTCGACCTCCCGCCATCTCTCCAGGAGACCATCAGGGCCGTGCAGCAGCTCTCCAGCGGGACAGCACCCGGATCGGACGCAATCCCGGCTGAGGTCTACAAGCACGGAGGTCCACCTGACTGCGCTCTTCCAAGAGATGTGGCGTCAAGGTGAAGTCCCGCAAGATTTCAAAGACGCAACCATCGGGCATCTCTACAAGCGCAAAGGGAATCGCCAAGTCTGCGACAATCACCGCGGCATCTCCCTGCTGAACATCGCCGGGAAGATCTTCGCCCGCATCCTTCTCAACCGCCTCAATAACCATCTGGAACAGGGCCTTCTGCCAGAAAGCCAATGCAGCTTCCGTCATCATCGTGGGACCACGGATGTGATCTTCGCCGCCCGTTAACTTCAGGAGAAGTGTCAGGGGATGCGGACCCACCTGTACTCTACCTTCGTGGACCTGACGAAAGCCTTCGACACGGTGAATCGTGAAGGACTGTGGAAGATCATGTAGAAATTCGGCTGTCCGGAGCGATTCACTCAGATGGTACGTCAGCTGCACGACGGTATGATGGCGCGAGTCACGGATAACGGAGCTGTCTCAGAGGCATTCGCAGTGACCAATGGAGTGAAGCAGGGCTGCGTACTGGCGCCTAACCTCTTCAGTCTTATGTTCTCTGCCATGCTCATGGACGCCTACCGCGACGAACGCCCCGGGATCCGCATCGCCTACAGGACGGACGGTCACCTGCTGAATCAACGGCGTATGCACTTCCAATCGCGCGTATCCACAACCACCGTCCACGAACTTCTCTTCGCTGACGACTGCGCCCTGAACACCACCTCGGAAGAGGAGATGCAACGGAGCATGGACCTGTTCTCCGCCGCCTGCGAGAACTTCGGTCTGTTCATTAACACGCAGAAGACGATGGTGATGCACCAACCGGTATTCAGCTGAGCGCGAAGCTGAAGATGTACAAGGCCGTCATCCTGCCGACACTACTGTGTGGAGCGGAGACTTGGACGGTGTACGCAAAGCAGGCACGTCGTCTGAACCACTTCCACCTCAGTTGTCTTCGTCGCATCCTGAGGCTGAAGTGGCAGGATCGAATCCCCGACAGTGATGTGCTGATACGGACGGGAATCCTCAGCATCTACGTCATACTGAGGCAAATTCAGCTGCGCTGGAGCGGCTACCTGGTGCGCATGGACGACGAGCGACTACCCAAACGACTCTTCTGCGGAGACGTCGCGACGGGTTCTCGCCGTCAAGGAGGCCAGATTCGCCGTTACAATGATACCCTGAAGTCCCCCCTGAAATGCCTGCAAATCAACCCCACCAACTGGGAGGAGCTCGCACTCGATCGACCGACCTAGAGGAGGACAGTGAAGACAGGCGCTGCTATATACAAAGCCAACCGCATCGCTGCCGCCAAAGCGAAACGTGAAGCCCGCAAATCACAACTTCGCCCAGTAAGCAACGCCGCCGCACAACCGCTTCCAATGTGTCCTCGATGTCAACGGACATTCCGGGCTCGAATCGGACTTGTTGGACATCTTCGGATTAACTGCGCCTCTCGAACGGCACCAACCATCGTCCCCCCGCCTGCCTCTTCCTCCTCCTCTCCGCCGCCAACTAACCCCGACAATTCTTCTGACCCACAACTTCCATAATCCTTTTCCTACTCCTCCTCCTCCTCCTCCTCCTCCTCGCCCACTGCTCTAACGGCGGCCGCTCAGGCGACTGTCCCGCGCACAACAACCGACATTACCACCACCTCCCCTGACTCCAGGGATGAGGATCAGGACTACGCCTGCCCTCACTGCGACCGTACCTTCACCTCACACATCGGCCTGGTCGGTCACTTGCGAATCCATCGCACAGAGACTGGCGAACCAGTGCCTGGAGCACCCACCTACACCCACCAAGCTCGTCTCAACTGCCCACACTGCCCTCGCACTTTCAGGCATCGCATAGGCCTATTCGGCCACATGCGCATCCACGACGACCTGCGGTAGACAACCGCCGATCATACCACACATTCACTCACTCCCTACCTCCTCCTCCACCACCACCATCACCCCACCAGAAATCAACACTCACACACCTCATGCGCCCAACTGCCACCTCCCACGCAAGTGGGAAGTCCGCATCTCGACTCGGTCCCCATGCGGCTTCGGCTGCACGGGTGACTTGAGTCCGAGACTATCCCGGCACGTCAAGCGTCGTGGATAGGAAGGTTGCTGATTGACGCCCGCTCTCGGTTCACGCAGTTCGTCGCGTTGTGTGTGTGTGTGTGTGTGTGTGGAGTGGCGGACTGGTGGGCTGGTGGGCTGGGAACGGGCTGAAACAGCACCTTCCACGGCACTCTCACGCAAGTGAGAGACACGCCGTTCAACCCCGTTGTGTGAAATCGTGGTGTTGTGTGCATGGGGGGCCAGGTCGTGCCGTGGCGCGCGCAGTCATGGTCATTCGACTATGACAGCCACCGCGCCCATTCCCCACTCCAGTCTGCTGACCGGCTCGGACAGCGGCTGGGGTGTGGGAGTGAGAAGGGAGAGTGAGGTCGACGACTCAGCGCATTTTCCTCACTATAAACAATCTGACGCGCTTGAAGCTATCACGGTGCGCTAAAAGCCGTGGCTTGGAAGGTTGCCAACTGCCGGGGTACCTTGGAACTCCTCGTTAACTGGAGGCGGTCTGAGAGTCAGGCTGCAATGGCACCTTTTTAATGTGACCTTCATGGCAGTCCCACCACAGTGTGGGATCCGAGCCAGGCGTTGGCGGCATGCCCAGGTGCGGCTTCGGCCGTGCCAGCCTCCAAATCTCTCTTGTGTTGGTTGAAATCCTGGTTATTTGTAGTGTGGACCAGGGGGTGTGGTGGAACGCCAAGGTGAGGATCCGTCCGAGCCATCCACCTGCGGCCTCTCTTGTCTCCGGCCTTCTTGACTCTGTCTTGACACCGGGCTCGGTCGAGGGAGGAGGAGATAGTGTAGGTAGATGCTACGCAAGTCTACCGGCACTATAAACCCCTGCGTAAGTTACCGTCCCTGCTCCCATTGCTGCTGTAACTGTGGGGCACACGGTGGACATAATCGAAAACGATGGTCGAACTGTCAGCCAGTCTATTCTATTGCGGGGCAGAAATGAACATTTCTGCTTTGACTTGGAGCTGAAGTTCTACAATCCGACAGTTCGACCGTCGTTGCCGACGATGTCCACCGTGTGCGCCATAGGAGTGTGAGAGCAGGGATGGTGACTTGCGCGTGAATTCGTTTGTAGTGATAGTAGACCTAAACAACATCTATCGCACTCTCTCTCTATCTCTCCTCTTCCTTCCTCTCCCCTACCCCTGGATCCGGTGTCATGACCATATCAAGAAGACTGGAGGCAGGAAACGACGCAGGTGGCTGGTACGGCGAAGACCTCCCCCCCCCCTCTGACGTACCACCACGCCCTCTGGTTCATAACGGATGCTTACCAGGATTTTATACCACAAATAATGGCGCGGCGGCAAGCATGGCGTGCGCGTGCGACCCGGTGTGCCACAACAACTCCCCAGTGTTGGCCCTTGTTATATGGTGCGCATTCCCAATAACGCCTGCCGGACTCTGGTCTAGTCCCTGTTTTGGTCCAGGACGTCAACCGCGTGGCTCATTTAAGGGCGCACTGGACGATGGCAGCTAAAAAACCACCGCTGTGGCAACCTATTTGGTCTACAGTTCGTGCTAGTGGCTGCAGGAGGGCCAAGAAGCAGTAATCAAGAAAGGCCCACCGACAATGACGGGGACACTGGAATGGCTATTTCTGGCTTATTTGCTGTCCTAAATAGCAGTAACTTAATCCGGAGCACTGGTGGAACTAATTAGGCCGACGACGTCATGTTTGAGGGCACCTGCGGCTCGAATCCGCGTTCTTTGGGCATTAAGAGTTAGCATGTCCAACGATGTAACCATTGCGTCATAGGTTTTTTGTCCCGTCGATATCGATGGGGAATACTAACTGTGTTGGAAGGTCGTTCATTGATCGGGTGAGAAGGCCTGATCGTCCGTTGTGCTTCGAGGTTCGAACTAGAGCCCCACAGGCACTCGCACTGCGACTAGTAAAATACCCAGAAGGAGATTACCGACGAAGATAAGGGAGACTTGGATGACAAAAAACTGGTCAGCGGAGGAAAACAAACCCCAACCGCATGTAATACGGCACCGGTGGTAATATAGGTTTTTACAGGTGGGGCCGGGGAACGCACAGGAGACGAGGTCAAACAATTGTATGCAAAAGAAAAGCCATTGGGAATGCGCGGCTGTACTTTGAGTGGTTGAGAAAAAGTTGTCCTAACCCCTAACCTTAACTCCTGACCTTAACCCCTAACAGTATTGTGTCCACCAGGTGCGGCTACATAACCACATCTTACCCAAAACTTCCTAACCGTGTCATTTTCTGAAACTCTAAATATGCTAAGGCTGACAGTGAAGGCGGGCGGCCATTAAGATGTTTAAACGTCGAGTATCCGAAACTTTGAGGAATGGATAGAGAAAGCCAGCAGACTTCAGGAAGCTTATGGTCACGCGCGAATGATTGATGTTAAAGACTACGCCATGGGCTGCCTCCGAGAAAACACATAAAAACCCGATATGTCCTCCGATGGGAAACCGACTGTTGGGAGCGCCTACACTCCCAAAAACAAGAGCCAGCCAATCACGGGAGGTCACGTGCGTTTTCTCCACTGCGCTGTCATCTTACTCGTGGCGCCTCTCCATTGGCTTTTCCTCTCGGGCCTGATCGATCAGCATATTCGAATTATCGACCGGCTCGTCTCGAATGTTCTTCCCGAAGGGCATTGGGCCGAACGCCGGCGAAGCACCGTAAGGCGTTATAACTACGCGTTACTTCCAGTTCATTTTGACTTGCATTTTCATAATACACAGTTTCGTGGGCGGTCGCGTTCTCCTTCTCTGCCGCGTTGGTATTGGGGACAAGAGTCAAGTGCGCATACGCTCCACAGGATTTCACGTACCAGGCGGGTCATAACCCCGACAAATGCAGTCAACGGGTAAATGATATTCTTCTCCTACCCCAACAGAGAAAGATGAGCAGGATATAACAACTGTTATGTAAATGATTACTTTACCTAGAGATTTGAAAACCATCCCGGACATCAGGGAGGATCTCACTTAAGATCGACCGGCCTGGAAAACAGCAGTGAAGATTGAAGCGGCAATTTACGGAAACAAATGTTTATGTTGACCCAACTGTGAAAAACTCGGCGCCTCGGTGGGATTCGAACCCACGCAGTAAGGGGAAGGCTTTAGTGTAGCCAACGCTCTAACCACTTGAGCTACGAGGCCCCGCCGGACGACGCGAGTTTAATCACATCTGTGTCAAGTACTATAGCCTTCCCCTTACTGCGTGGGTTCCAATCCAACCGAGGCGCCGAGTTTTTCACAGTTGGGCCAATATGAATAGATATTATTTGCATACGAACTGGTAAAAGCCATTTTATTGTCCACGTCGTCCCCTATTCTGGTCGTCTAGGAGCTATTTGTCTCCAACACAAGTAAAGTGGCTACTTTTTCCTAAGCCGACAACAAATTTATCGCTCCTACACAAGTCAGAAGATCGGCCCGAAAGTCGCAAGCACCGCGGACCCTCGACCGCAACACCAGCAGTTCTAATGTGTACACGCTGTCGCCGGACATGCCGCGTGCGTCAGACAGCTTCAGATGCGAAGCATTTACAAAACAACAACTCCACCTGCTGCCTCCGCAAACGCCTCTACCGTCACGTCCTTCCTCAACCACCTAGAAGCTCACGACGACAGGGATCAGCACCATCGGTGAGCAAAATCCCGAGCCGACGACGACTGCCACCCCTTATTTCCCACAGTCATTATTTCTCTACCCGAACTTTGTCTCCGTGATGCTGAGGTCTGTCAAAGTTGGGGTTACAACCCTTAGGCTTGCGATATGTGGTGATCTTTACCAGCACTTTGAAAGCAATCAATTACAAAACTTGAACTGAAGTGCACTCCAACATGACTGCTGGCAACTAAAAACGGCAACATTGCAGCCGTGCATTACTAGTTCATACAAACGTCATTTCGCATAGTGTATGACCAGGCATGTGATACACTATGCATAGTGTATGACAAGGTATGTGATTACCCCGGGTGTAGGGGTGTCAGCGGTAGGTTCACGTAATGGTCGTGGTGGTCGCTCACTTGCCTGCATGTGAGACTGCGCCTAGTGTCCACTTGCTGACACTAAACTCACACCTGTGGCTCCACTTAGCTGGACTCTGCTCAGCGGCCACACCCCGGGCAACCGTCTCGGCCGGCGGGCTAAACCAGATGAGGGGGCCCTGTGCGCTGTGCCGT